AAAAACTTTATCGTGGTGACTGCTTGGATTTTTCAGATTTATATCAAATTTAAAAGTAAAAAGGGAAAATAGAAATTTTGCGGAAATTTCAGCAGAAGAAATCAGTAAATCTGAAACCTTTTGGTTAAAACAAGCTCAAGAAGATAGTTTTCCTGAAGTTATAGAGTCTCTAAGAGAAAACAAGCATATTCCAAAAGATTCAAAATTGTTCGAATTAAATCCCATATTATCAGATGAAGGTCTACTTTTGGTACGAGGTCGGTTACAAAAGTCAAACCTACTATTTAACAACAAACATCCAATAGTAATCCCTTCAAAACATAAATTAAGTGAATTAGTAGTACGAGACGCTCATGAAAAGGTTTATCATGCGGGTGTATCAGGATACTCTAGTGCATATACGTGAAAAATTCTGGCTCTTAAGAGGAAAACAATATCGTCAAATCAATCCTGAGTAAATGCAGTAAATGCATAATATGCAAAAAATATAATGTACGTCCTGGACAACAAAGTCACTGCACCTCTTCCAGCGGATAGAGTTAATGAATCTCCACCTTTCGCAATTTGTGGACTCGATTTTGCAGGTCCTTTGTATGTAAAAGAAAATGACAACAAATACTACATTTTATTGTTTACTTGCGCCTACTACAAAGAGCTATTCACCTGGAGCTCGTAAAAGGCATGAGCACTGAAGAATTTTTACTTGCGTTCCGCAGGTTCGTATCCCGAAGAGGTTTGTGTTCCACTGTGTACTTCGGACAATGCTAGAACATTTAAAAGAGCCGAACTTGAATTAAAGCAAATGTGGAAAGTGATTAACCACCCTGAAGTTAAAAAATTTTATGCTTCGCATGGAATCACATGGAAAATACATTGTGGAACGTGCTGCCTGGTGGGGCGGTTTTTATGAACGTTTAGTTCGCAGTGTAAAAACTAGTTTAAGAAAGAACATTGGGAAATCATCTTTGACTCAAAGTGAATTAGAAACGCTTTTGCTTGAAATAGAAGCGATGATAAACTCGCGTCCATTAACATATATGTCTTTTCTGATCTTGAAGAGCCCTCCGCACTTACTCCAGCCCACCTGTTGATTGGTAAACGACTCTTTGAGTTTGCCAGCTGTAAGGAGGAATGACTTGAATTTACCAGGTTCCAGAGAAGTAATGTTAAAACGTTTCCGTACACGAGAAAATCTAATAAATCACTTTTGGAACAGATGGAAAAAAGAATATCTCCTGTGCTTGAGATCTGCTCATTATACCGGTCAGAAGAAACCATCTGCATTCAACGTAAATGATATAGTGCTTGTTCATGATGAAAACTTACCTAGAAGCTGGTGGAAATTAGGAAGAATAACCAAAACCTTTATTGGTAGAGATGGAATGATCAGATCGTGTGAAGTGAAAACTGGTAATTCGGTAATCAAACGTCCAGTGCAGCTATTGTACAATTTAGAAATTGATGATATCAGTAATTGCAATAATCAGTGACTGGTTAAAAAAAAAAAAAAATTTGGACTGAATGACTGATAAACTGATGATAGGAAAAAAAATGTTCTTTTCATAATGTTTTCATTTATTCACTTTATTATTTTCCTTGGTTTAATGATTTGTGGTGATCTTGAGAAATGTTAATTTAAATGTTTTGTTTTTTCTATAGTTTCAGAAAACTTTTTTTTTCTTGGTGTTAAGAAATTATTGATATAATGTGACCTGTATATGTAAGTAATTTTTATTTGTTTCTTATTGTTATAGTAATATTGTAATAGTTAGTTAAATTTATGATGAACCTATTGTTCATCGGGGGGGGGGTTTGTTGAAATTATTTCTTTTTCCCTCCGATGGATTCAGTTTTTCTTTTATTTTTTATCGTCTGTCGCCGACTAGGTCACGTGACTGGCGGCAGAGAAGGAATGTAATACTCTTTAGTTAGCTTGAGGGCGACGCCTTGAAATGATCTGTTCTTGGCCGCATAGCGGTAATTGTTCTTGATAAACGAATATTGGCCCTATGATGGGAAAATTTATAATATATGTATGATTGTGCTTTCAATAATGTAAATAATGTACATAAGCTCTTCATTAAATGTTTTGTTTTTATATAAAAAAAATAGAATCGTGAATTCGTGAGCATAAACGTGACAAAATTTTTATACAACCATCTCTTCGAATGTCACCAAACGATTGCATACCTTCATATCTAACTGAAATTTTGGCATGGTACAAAGGATACCTTTTATAAAATTAAAAGAGAAATAAGAAGAAATGATAGCATATCATACATTTACATTATTTAAAAGAAAAATTACATGTTACTTATATATATGAAAAGCATGAACCATCAGAGTTTTGTGTCTAAAAGCCAAACTTTTTAAAATTCATTCTTATTGATTTTGAAAATGTGAGATAAAACAAAGTTTTTGCTCTTATTCCGCTTATTTGAAAGACCTAAGGGGTATTTCTCCCGCCTTCTTGGCATGCCTTCGTAGTGTGGTGGTTTGCACGCTGAGCGCGTATTCCAGAGGTCCGCGGTTCGATTCATGGCGAAGAGGTTTCTATTTTTCATCTTTCCTGCTTCCAAAAAAGTACCTAATGTCTCTACAGACCTTTGAAATAGATGGCTAAATAGCACAATCGTTTGCATAAAGAGCTGACTTTCTTTTATATTCAGACTACGGCTAACAGCAAAGATGACTTTGCTGTTAGTCAACTTTGCAAAGTCATCTTTGCTGTTTAGTCACCATAAACACAGAAAGATATTTCGTAAAATTGCTGAAACATTTAGGATAACATTTAGAAGGGACTATTAAGCTACTTAATGCTGAAAAAGAGCTTCTAAATAAAGTTCAACAAGAAAAGTTTTGGTTCTTTAGATAACAATGATTTTGTTCGAAAAGCGAGTAACAGTTTACTAACGAGTGCATTTTAACTTGATTTATAGATTGGAAATATTTAAATAAAAATACCAGTCCTTAACTAATTTGAAATAAAAACCAGTCCTGAAAAAAAAAAGCAATAGAAAGAACCTATTGATCTTTGGCAAGAAACGCAAATCTGAAGGTTTTGAATTTTGGGAAAATATGCGTATTCAAGTGTTACAAAAGAAAAAGAAGGGTTAATGCCATCTCTGGAAGCGATACAACTAGTTACTCGGTTTTACAAGAATTTCCAGGGTGTGATACTCAAATTATGCAGAAAGGAGGAAGTATCTAAGGGAAGTTTTTGGAGGGTAAAATCATTTGGAGGGATTTTGGAGGGAACTGTGTGGAATGTAATTTATGCCTGCTTTGGAAAGCCACGTTGCTATCTTTGATTCTCTAGTGATTAGAATTCTGCAGTGTTGAGTTATTCTTACCATTAGGCTTGTTTCTTCGATCAGAACCAGCTTGTGCGCTAGTTAACTGTGAAGCGCTAGTCATAAGTCAAAGTTATAAAATGAATGAAAGTGAACCTAGCGTTAGAATGTTATACTTAAATTTCATTAGTTTTAAGATTATTAATTATCTTTGATATAAACGAAAAATGTTGGTTTCTATAAACAAGAATTGTTGCCAACTGATAAACTTTATTTGGATTAATAAAAAGAATTATCAACAATAGAAAGGTTTTTCAAGTGCGGCTAAGCCTAATTTTTGATTACCATAGCAGCCATATTTGTTTATATCTGAAACTTAGCAGAATAGTGGATCTGTTGCCAATCTAGCGAAACTGAGCTTCGCAAAAATTCGCATTTATTACTGAGAATTAAATCATGCTTAATCCATTCTGGAATTTATTCGAGGAAATTAGTAATTAAGATTTACTTTAATTTTTAATATAGATGTTTTGATTTTTTATATATTTTTGTCTTGTCGCGAAGTGAGAACTGAATTAACTGAATGAGAAATACTGAATCGTCTGTGAAAAACTGTTTCTCTTTTTTTTTAATTTCTTGTTTTTGTTTGTTTAATTTCGTTCATATACATCGTTTTAGATCTATTATAGTTTTTGAACAGAACATGTGGCAATGATTAGATAATTCTTCAGATGATATAAATTTTGCGCATTCTGAGTTATAAAATTCTTACTAGCTATATTGCACTTACTGCATTTGCCATATAACTCAGTGCACCTGCCTGCATGCTTCAATTTAATGTCATTACTTATTACTGCACAATTTTTATGATGAACACCTACTTTCGTAAGTATTAAGATGTGCCTACTCACGCAGCTGAATTTTCTTCGCCCACGGGTGTTGATACTTCCCTAGTACCATTTTATTTGGAAATATCTTTGCCTAGTGCACTTTAATGCGATCTACTGGTGAAAACTATTTAGTAGTTAATGACCAGAGAAAAGTAAGTCATAAGTCAAAGTTACAAAATGAATGAAAGTGAACCTAGCGTTAGAGTGTCACTATGGTAAACAAATATAGTTGAATTTTAAAAAGTGCATTTATTCTATTGTGGTTTATGTGCAGTCGACGAAGTAGATTTAATTCAAATCAATAAGTTTAAATGAAATGCAAGAAAAAATGCGCATAATTTAATATTCCGTACAAGGAAGTCATACAGTGTACACATCATACAGTGTACAAAGATTTTTTAATGTTTGAATACTCATGATGAAATCACAAACACACGCACACGATACCGTTGCCAACAATCACTTTAAACAAAACGAAACTAACATGAAAAAGGGAAATTCACAAAAACAAAAATTCTTACATGAAATTACGAGGAACCGCGGCGGAAGCTTATGAAAAAAAATCACGTGATAAAATTACTTTCACAGAAGTAAAGTAAAACCAGAATTTAAATCTTTGGCTAGTACACAATGTTGCCAATTTTTCAAAACCCAGAAATTTTAAAATGAGGATATTTAGGAGAATAAAAAATAATGTTTTTTCTTTTTATTTATAGCGAGAAGAAAATAAATATATTTTCTATTATTAGATATTAATTTATTGATAAATAAACAGCATTGAAAAATCGAGGTAGCAAAAGTATTCTTAGAAACATACCCATTGCAGACCATTACAGCATCATACACAAATCTTGATCTTTCATTGGAAGCAACATCACGAATTTCAACTAGCCATTCAACTTTATCGTTGCTGTGTTCCACGGGTTCTACATTTTCCACTAAGGTATGAAACTTTATAAAGAAGCAAGTAAGAGAGCAATTAAATTTAAATAAAAAAATTTAGATGTCATGTAGATAAATCAATATGCTATTATATTTTACTTTTATATGTGGGTACAAGCCGTATTGTTTTGTGTATTCTTCTAAATACTGGAGAACGACAGTGTGGTGCAGAAAAGACTGACCGTCGCAGTCTGGGAAAGGGAAATCTGGAAAAGCCATAACTTCCTTTGGTAAATTTGTCCTAATAAATAAATAGAAAAAACACGTGAAGTAGAAATTAAAAAATATATATATATATTTATTCGCTTATCACAACAACGAATTTCTGTTAAATTTTAGAAAAATTTTTAATTAAATAATAACAACATGTTAAGATAACTTATTTCAGTGGGATTAAAGCACGAATATATTAAATTGAAATTAAATCTAATCCCCAAAAAGTAATATTAAGATAAACAGTTTAACTTATTCGGTCTCGATGTCAAAAAAATGAAATTCCTCCATATGCCAGTCCGTCACTTAAAAACGCTGAATGTCAGTACGTGCCCGAACGCGTTTTACAATTAAGCCTAACACTACAAAATAATTTCTATAAAATCTGCTTTTCATGGAAATATTTGTATTCTTGCATGCGTTATTTAAGTGCTATTTTTTATAATGTAAACAGAAAATACTAATACTAAAAATTAAAATAAAAAGTCGAAATAAATTAATTTGCAGTATTAGTAATGATGATTATGTTTACGTATTTAAATAATTTATATATAAATAAAATTCTTAAGAATTTAAATAGCATTACGATAAACTGGCTTATAGTTGTAACTATAAAACTATCTTAAAATGAGACTCGTAAACGATTCGCAATATACACTATATAAAATACAGACCATCTTTGTAGGATAATTATTCAAGGAAAATTCTTGAATCATGATGAATACAAAAAATAAAACACAGTTAAATATAAAAATATATAAAGTAGAATATTAACAGGTGTAATCGATTACATTTTGCAATTGAATTCGGTCAAAAAGTTAAAGCATTCCATGACTATTTGTATTTTTCGCATTATGGAATAAGTTCGTTTGAATCTCTCAACGAGAGATTTAGTTTTTATGTGAAAGTTTTTAATCCAGTCTGTAAACGTTAATGATTCCTTGTGATTGGCTAAATCTTTTTCATTTCAAATTGGCTTTTGAGGTTTAATAGTAGAAGTAGAAGCACTACTTACAGCTGGAAAATGTTAATTTTTTTCGTGGAGGTTCTAGGATTTTTTTAGTTCAAAAGGGCAATTTGCCCTGAAGGACTATTTTCGTTTTGGCATTTTGCGTTGGTTCAATATAAATGTCCAATTCACTTTTCAAATTGTTGCCGCCAAATATTATCGCCCTGTATTATATTTAAAGAAATTAAATAATGATGAATCTGCATAAATGTATATATGTTTCTCGCGTTGTGATAAAACAACGGTACCTAAAGCCATCCAATTTTGAATAACGTACGTTTCCACTCGAATATGGGCATCTGGAAGCCCAAATTTGGAATTTTCAATTTGTTTTATTATATATTTCATATTTTGTAAAACTTTAATGAATTTTTGATTAACATACTGAACGATTTAAAAGCGAGCAATGGCAACACTCTACCGAGGGAGGAATTTTTTATCTCCAGCGCGCTGAACTGTGCATCGGAAATTCTAAAGATATGTTCATTTTAAAATTATTTTGCGATATTGCTGTTGAGCTGAACTTTATCGTTTAAGTGCGAAGAACATGATATTTAATAAATAAAGGTAATACACAAAATGTTAAAAAAAACGCCTCTTTGGACGTAATTTAAAATCTGAAAACTTTCAGATTTTTTCCCTTTCTTTCTTTTTCTTTATATAGATATTTATATATTTAGTGCATGCTGCCAATGTATGACGTTGCCTCACATCTCCAACAAGGTAGCGCTTTCTGCCAGTTATCCATAACAAAATCAAAGTTTTTGACTCAGCCTGTATAATCAATTGTGCAGCCAAAATTACAGCTTACGTTACAATTAAACCTTTGGGACATGAATGGTCAATATAAAGATTACGGTTTTTGTGGTTGGAAAACATTGGTATGCCCAGTAAACTGGCCTTCTCTTTTTCTTAAATTTTTGGTAACTGAGAGAGCAGGGTGAAAAGGTATTTAACGATATCCCCAAGCACTGGACATAAATGTCGGTCACCAATCTAAAAATGTATTTTATTATAATAAAATCCCGCTTAATCTAATTTGACTTAACAGTAGAGGAGGAGAAGAAGACATTTTAGAAATGCATAATTTCCTTTTAGTAGTTTATGATGCTAACGAAAGATTTTTTATTTTGGTCTTTTTAATTATTTGATAATAAGTGCTTAGACTAAAGATGAATTTAGCAACTTCATTGTGTTGGTCGTATCTACTATAATAAAACACGAAAATCTCGCTGTTAGATTAAAAAAGTATAGAGCTTTCCACACATGAGAGATCTAGAAGAAATCTTCATTTAAATCAGTAAATGGAAATGTTTGCAAGGCTTTTGTAAAGGTCGTAACAATTTTGTTTTGGTTCAACTAACACATTATCTTAATTTTCTTCTTTATTGTTCTTTCTTTAGAAAGCGTTTGTATATGAAAAGAGAGAGAGTGAAAGAGAGAAAAAGGAAGTAAGATCGGAACTAGCAGGGTTGACGAATGACTGATGGTAAACCTTGTCTGTCTGAGAGCTTCCATTGAAATAGCTGTCCAAACGATAAGCTGAAATTGAAATATTAAAAGCGTCATTATCCGCTAGGTAATTCTGGTTCTTATTAGATTAAATTGCATGTTAATTTTCAAGCTTGAAATTTTATTCTACATCTAATGTCATCAATAGACTATTGCCTCCTAATAATTTTAAGTTAAAGTAGAAGCCTATTCAAGCTAGTTTGATTTTATTCAGTGTTTCTATTTTGAATGAATAACACTACACTCCCTTCACAAAAACTCGCGATAAAGTGTTTTTTTACCCTTGTTAGGACTCCTGCATAGTTGCAAGGTGATTTTGTTACACACAAGTACTTGAAGTTTAATATAGTTGTCATAAAATGTGGTATTAAATATACTCAAATTTTAAATCTGTTGATGTTTTAAAATCGAGTACAAACATTTCTTCAGAAAATAAAATCTGCCACTTAGAGATTTTGATCAGTCTGCTGATACCCTAATCAAGTAAAATTGCATAAAACTTGTAAATCTAAAGGAGAGAAGAAAACGTAAGCAGATCTGCCCGTGAATATTTCCTAGTGTTTAGAATTATATAACTTGCAGTTCAAGTTTATATCAGTACTATTAAAACGTAACACCGATTTCGCAAGTTGTTTCAATCAAAAATCATAGATAGTGCAACAGTAGTAAAAGGGTATTTTTTGGTATTTCGGTATTTACGCAGCGACGTTAGTAGAAGTCGCCAAATTTTCAGGCTATGCTAAACTCTGGCAACCATGTACATAACCATTTTTTCCGATAACCATGCTCATAAAGATCCTTCAACAAGCAACGTCGCAATTTTTGTATGCATTCGTTTTTGTTGAATCCCAAATTCCAACGGTTTTTATAAATAAATTGTGATACTTTTTGCCTTAAACTAGTTTTAAAGTATGAGTTTGTGGAATTTGCCAACAATAGAAGAAACTGCGGTAAAATTTCTGCAAAAATACAGAATTTTGCTGAAAATTTTCTAAAGGGAACAACGAGAAAATGCGTTTCCGCGATAGCCGCTGTTGCCGAGTGCTGCATGGAGCCGAGTCTCCGTAATTCTCTTATTTGTTTAAGCGAAAACAGACAGCTGTGTACTTTGGGAGAGGAACAACACACAAAAAAAAAAAAAAAAAAAAAAAAAATTACAGAAAGATTTGAAAAAGAATATAAGTATTTTATTTTTTAATGTATTACCGTAATGCATATTTAATAATTCAAATTTATAGGTTAAATTGATAAAATATGTATTCAAATGTTGATAAAGTTTACCGACTTACGATAAATCTCGATAATTTGGGAATCTTTCTAAAACAAGGCGCGAAAACCATAAGCTTCCATCGGATATGTAACTTTTACCTTTCCATCTGTAGAAAAACCCAAATCGTGCCAAAGTGGTTGCGTTAATACGTAAGTACCATTTTTTCTAACAGAATAGAATGTACATTGAAAAATGTGAAATCAGGTACGTATATCGTGAAAATATAATGCATTCAAGCTGAAATGCGAAATGTCTACTTTTTACAATAATAAGTTTGACTTTTGAACTTTCTAAATGAAGAGAAATTGTCTTCCTCAAATCCAGTTTTCTCGAAAATTTATATTATAAAACTAGACTTTGAGCAATTATTAAATAAACTTAGCACTAGTCCGTCCTATGAAATATTTAAGCTGATTACTCTTTATTTTCCTCTTTAGGTAGAAATCAGCCTGTACATGAATTAATACCCAGGACAATATTCAGAACATTATGAGCGAGACGACATTTTTCGAAAGCAAAGTAAATAAACAGTTGATTAATATAACTGACTAATTGACTATATCTGGACGTATACCATAATGCCAGTCTTCACAAACCAAGCAAAACTGAATTGTGGCTACCAGATAAATTGTTTAACAATCTTAATTAATTAAAAGAAATGTATAAAAGTGTCCACTTCAGTCCTCAAAACTAGTGAATTTCAAATCTTTATACTGTGAATTTCATTAAGTTACCAGCTTATTATGCAATATTCCACATGTAAATGATTCATCCAAATTTGAGATGCGTATGATGTTAATTCCCATACATTAGTATATATACTATTTTTCTTAAATACGGTGTTAAGCAACATGCCTTTATGCAAATTCAGGATACTTTCCCGGTTAGCTCGGCTAAATGGTGATCTTCTAAATCATTTACCAAGATTAACATCAGATCATTTCTAAGTAAGCGGTTAGAACTGCGCATTTAAATTACTGATGACGGGTTGCATCTAAAAGTTACCTTGGATTTTGGAAAGGAAGGGGGGAGAAGAGCGAGTATTAAGTGCATAGTCCAGGAGTCGAGGAATTTCAAGATAATTTACGCGCTTGCTGATAGCTATGAGATAATTCTTAGAATTTAGAAATCAGTTTAGAATCAATCAATGTTAGAACCATTTTCTTTTCACACAGTTTTATTTGACTTAATTTTTCTGTTTGCTGGTTGATTGATTACACTCTTTGGGTTAAATACCGAAATTAATTTTTGAACTCTCTTCCGTTAACAGGATTTTCTGGAACGTTTCAACATTTGTATATTTGCGATAAACATGCAATAATTTACAAGATTTTTTTTTAATTCGATGAACATTTCTTTTTATTTAATAGTGAAAATTTCCAAATATCTTTGCTTAGTAGCAGAATGAATCATTGTAAAATTTATTATCTTTACACCCACGATCAGATATTAAAATAATCTTTTGAACGAAGTTTCTTAGAAATTCTGAAAAATTTTATCAAATTTTTGCGGTGTTTTAAAATTATCCGATTCTTTTTTAGCAAAATTTTGCATTTTGTTAAAAATGACAGATTTTAAACTAAAAGATTCAATCCTTCACTTTTCACAGCCCTCTGATTGTAAGTGAAAATGATAAACAGTCAAAACTTAGAATAGAATTCAAAATAAACATTGAGATGAAATGAATGTAAATTTACACTATCAACCAAATCGGAAGATTAAAACAAAATCACGATTTGTTATGCTAATTAACAGGTAAGATTTTCCCACGTTCAGATTTGGCAATTATTAATTTTTCCTCATTCTTTAAAATTAAATTTCCGCATTAATTTTTCCGCATAAAATCTATTAAAAAAGAATTCGTAAATTTTTACTAAGTTACACAAATTTAGTTAAATAAAATTATAACTTAAAATTAAACAAGACGCAAATATTACTTTTTTTCAGATGTTATAATATTCTTCATCATTTACGCCTAAAATAAAAATGCGTGTTAGGAGTTTAATAGAATTCGACAGAAAGTGGAACTGATCGTACAGAAAATTAATAAAATTCCTTGCATTTTAATTCTTTTAAATTTCTCTTTGTCACTTTTGTTTAAAATCAGATATTATGAGCAACTCCCTGATTTAATTTTTAGTTGCATATGATCAAGAATATTAGGATAGATGAATAAAATTTGTTTTCTAATAAATTTAATTAAAACTATTTGACTCAAAAAAGCTTTTCTGTGTTTTGTTTAATAGTTGAAAGATATTTTCAAGAGTTATTGCTTTTATTTTGGATTCGATTATGTGCGAGAACTGTTCAGAATAAAACCTGCTATCAGAAGGCATGTACTTGTGAAACCATTTTTCATGAACTGTTTGATTGGACCTCCTTAACATAATAATACTTTACATAAGAGGTAAAAGGCTAAACATTTTAAAATTTCAATACCATGCGCTATTGAAATTTTTATTGGTACTGTAAGTCATTATACTTATAGTACCATCATTATATATAACAGAAGACGTTTCGAATTTCCATTTTATATACTTTCGTATTTAACAAAAATTAATGGCAGAAATTAAATTCAATAGAATTATACCGATCCCAGTCCCTTATTCTGTGTTTCTCTTTTAAACATTACAAATGACTATTATCAAGTCTTTTCATTTTTCGCTCCACGTTTCGTAATGTTACCGCATCATCAATCAACTTCTTGAATTCTGAGAGAGTTGTTATTTATCTTAACAAAGAAGATCTTTAATTTACATTTCAAAACTTTATGCTTTCTTTTAGAAACAAGTGGTTTCAACCTTTTTTGTTCCATGCACCCTTTCACCATTACTAGAAAATCATCCCCCCCCCCCATTTACAAACTTGAAAAATACATATATTTATTTATTTATATTTAGATTATTTTCTAGTGCGTTTTGTAAATAAAACAGCGAAAATTATAAAAAATGTTGGTAAATACCAAAACTTGAAAAGTAATTTAAATTTATTGTAAAAAGTAGTTTTTATATGCATAAATTAAAACTAAATACTTAGTATCTAAATAAAAGGCTGACTGTATCCCCACTAAAACTATGAGTCCCTCCCGGTTGAGAAACCCAGGTCTATGGCATTAAGCTCCTTCGAGGGGAGGGGGGAGATTTTGCGGAGGATTTGTTTGATCTCTAATAACATATCCTCAGATCTGATATCCTCTTAAGAATGTTGTCTCAAACTGGTTAGGTTAGCTTATTTGAACCCTGCAAAGTACAAGACGGATATCAGCTTAAATGAAGGGATGCCTTCGTGGTGGGCTTTCTAATACAAAATCTAATTTTTTATATGTTTCACATAGAGCAGAAGGTAAAACTTTCATTACCTTATAAAGTATTTTTCCCTCCTTCCAACATGCCTTCGTGGTGTAACGGTAACAAACTTGGCGCCTATTCGAGAGGTAAAGGTTCGAGTCCCGGGGCCGGCACTGCACATTTTTCACCTTTCCTGCTTCAAAATAACCTAATGACTGTACAGTGGCGCCCAATTAGAAAATGGTGGGGCAATAATTCGTCATCACCAGGATTTGGCAATGGGGTCCCTAATCCCCAGTTGCCCTTTAAAAGGGAGAGTATGTTAGGTATTTTTCCCTACTTCCAGCATACTTTAGTGGTGTAACGGTAACACACTCGGCGCGTATTCGAGAGGTCCAGGTCTTCCTCCTGAAAGAGCATGCCTTCTCTTCAAAGAGTTTCTGATCGACAGTGTTTGATTTGAAAACACGTCATACTGAGTACAACTTTTAAACAAAATGTAGTAACATTCGAAATTAGCCTGCATTGAGCAACGTTGTAGTAGAGGAGTGTTATAATTATGCAAAAGACAATTCACTATTAATTCTTAAATTCTATAGCATATGAAAATAAAGGAAAAACATACCTTAAGTTTTTGTACATGCTTGAATGTACCGGCAGTCCATATTCATCAGAACCAACTCGAGAAGAATAACGCCATGTACCCCCAACATCATCTTGCTGCTCGAAAATATCAAACTGAAACTTTTCAGGTTCTGAGATGAGATGCCGCCCAGCACATAAGCCAGCTGCTCCGGCGCCGATGACTGCCACCTACAAAACCAATATTAGCCAAAAAAAAAAAAAAAAAAAAAAAAAAAAAAAATTACGTACAAGTCACAGAAATCGTCTGAAACATTCCATTTAATGTAGAATAACACTAGAAAATAATATGCATCCAAAATAAAGGAGTAAACTTGCTTTAATTCTTGAATGATTCACAGTTCCTGCCATTTCACCTCAAGCAGACGCATAATCTGGAAAATAAATCGGATTTTTATCTTTTAAACTTTTCTGTACTTTAACTTTCTCTTTGTACTTTAAACATTGACGTTAGTTTCTATTTCATGCTGGTTATCCTTATCTGGAAATGTAATCTAGTTTGTTCTATTTAATTAGCAGGTCAGTTTAGACAAGAATGCACGATAAAAAAGAACTAATACGATCTTTTAAGATTTCAAAGTTGTAGGATATGACGTGTAAGCTTGTAGCCTTGGCTACTAATGTTTAAAATTAATTTATGACTAGTAACAGCATGAATTATAAACAAATAGCTAAGTTATTGCATTTTATTTTCCAGCTATCGAAATGCGACGCTACGAGCAACGTTTTGAAACCAAAACCTCGCAATCATGAATCAGAAATAGAACTAGTTGCCATTCAGCATAAAGAAATTTTTAAATATAAAATTGAACTACTTATTGCCATTCAGCATAAAAGAAATATAAATATGAATATTAACAAAATATTAAAGTTAATTTTATAAAATAATTAAACACATGAACAAATATATGAAATAAAAAATAATTATTTCTCATGCACTAACTGGGCCACTACACTACTCCCCCACCATAACTAAGTTACGTTACGAAGATGGAGAAATAGATAGTAACTAGTATTGCAGTGTTAACCACTATCAAAATAATTTAGTCAGTCCTTGAATCTAACAGGTAAACGTATAGATCTGCCTGTGCGAGAATGTTTGATTCACATCCGAATTTGAGTCCGGTCTCTGCAAATTAGTGTAGTCAGGTTGTATCAACTGAGAATTTTCCTCAGCTAAAATATATGCTGGTTTCAAGCGATCCAGGGATACATTAACATGTTTTCCTTTTATGCTAATAGTAAAATATTTGTCCTTGCGATCAATAACAGGAAATGGTCCTTCATAAGGAGGTTCCAAAGGTTTTTTTACCCGATCTATTATCTATGAAACACATGAGAACAAGTTTTTAAGTCTTTATGGACAAATATCTGTTCAGATGAATTTTTACGAATTAGTCTCGGTCCAACAACTTCATCTGTTTCTGGAGTTTATTAGCAAAAGTCTCCGATGCTGTCTGGATACTTGGTTCGCTGAAAAAAACTCTCCAGGAAGTCTGAGAGACTCTGGCCATAAACTACTTGTGCAATAGAATGATTGGTATCTTCTTGAATAGCAGTACGCAAACCCAAAAGTACTGTTGGTAACGTGTCCGTCCAAGATATGTTGTTGTGGGCTTTTAATGCTGTTTTTAATGTTCGATGAAGGCGCTCAACTTTGCCATTACACTAGGGGTGGTAGGCAGTAGTGTGTTGTAAATTGATGCCACAGATTTTGGACAAAGCTCGTAATGTATCACTTTTAAATTGGGATCCACGATCACTAATGAGTTTACTTGGCGTTCCGAAACGCGCAATCCAGTTGCTATAAAAGGCTCTTGCGACGTTCTCAGCAGAAATATTTTCTAAAGGAATTGCTTCCATCCAATTCGAAAATCTATCTATGCAAGTAAGACAATAAATATTCCCTTTAGATGGGGGAAGTGGTCCTATGAGATCAATATGGATGACAGAAAATCTTCCTGGTGGTATTTCAAACTCACCTAATTTTGTTTTGGTGTGCCGACTGATTTTAGATTTTTGGCAAGGACTTGTCCACAACTGTACATCTTTTTCCATGTTAGGCCAGATGAATTTTGATGTCATTAATTTCATAGTCGATTTTATTACTAGATGTGATAAACCAGGAATTCGCTGAAAAACGTGTTTTCTGAAAGCCTGGGGAATTATACGGCCGAATATGTTTAGTTGATGTACTACAAGTATTTCCCCGAAGGTAGAGAACATTGCTTTAAATTTAAGAAAATAGTGGTTTGCAAACTCTTCATCTTGAGTCTGTTCATCAGCTATTTTATCATAATCTATCGATGAAATTTCATTAACTCTAGATAATGTATCCGCCACAATATTATTCTCACCTTTTACATATTTGATATCAGTCGAAAACTGGGAGATGTATTGAAGTTGGCGAGCCTGTCTAGGTGCTGCTTTGTCAAGTTTTTGACGAAAGGCGAATATTAAGGGCTTGTGATCTGTATAAATTGTAAATATTCTTCCTTCTAGATAATGCTTAAAGTGTCTAATTGAAAGATATATGCTTAATAGTTCTCTATCATAGGTGCTATATTTTTGATGAGTATCACTTAATTTTTTAGAAAAAAATGCTATTGGCTTCCACGAGGAGTTTTCATATTGTTGCAACACTGAGCCAATCGCCGTATCTGAAGCATCTGTAAATAACGCCAGAGGTAGTTCAGAATTGGGAAAAGACAACGTGCCGTGTTCACCAGGTCATTCTTGCACGTTTCAAACTGTTTTTCAGCTTCTTCAGTCCATTCGATTTTACGTTTGTCCCCTTTTTTAGCCTCCCTTGAGATACGCATGTAACAATGCTTGATTCTTCGCTGCATCTTTTATGATAACGACGATAAAAGTTAAGTATTCCAAAGAAAAAGGTTCTAAGTTCATGAATTGTTTCTGGTCGTTTGTAGTTAGTAATAGCTTGAACTCTTTCTGGCAAAGGACAGGAACTGAAACCCTTAGGTGTAATTAGGTAGCCTAGAAACTCGATATCTGGGGAACAGCAAAGACAGATTTTGAAACCATTAATTCTTAACCCAAATGTATTGTAATCTTTCGAAAACTAATTTAAGGTGATTTTCGTGTTCTTCATGGGTACTGGATGCAATGAGTATATCGTCTAAATAGGGAAAAACGAATTCTAATCCTCTAAAGACTTCGTGAATAAATCTTTGGAACGTTGCAGGAGCATTTTTTAAACCGAAACTCATTACATTAAATTCGTATAAACCGAAAGGAGTGATGATAGCCGTTTTACATTTGTCTTCTTCTGCAATGGGAATTTGAAAATAAGCTTTGAATAAATCAATTTTAGAAAAAAATATTTGTACCTTTTAAAATATGATGAAAATTTTCAATGCGAGGAATTGGGTATCAATCAGGTATCGTCTGTGCATTCAATCGTCGGTAGTCTCCGCAAGGACGATATGAACCATCCTTTTTGGTAACAAGGTGCAAGGGGCTTGACCACTGGGAGTTTGATGGACGAATTATTCCATTGTCAAGCATAAATTTAAATTCCTCTTTAGCTATAGCTAAGCGTTTTGGATCGAGCTGTCGTGCCTTTGAATAAACGGGTTGACCATCAGTCGTAATAAAATGTGTAACACAATGTTTAATTTGTGTAGGAAAAAGGTTAGGTTTAGAAATTTCGGGATATTTCGACAGTAAATCGAAAATTTTTATGGATTTATGTGGTTACTGAGTAATCACTGGAAATAGCAGCGACATCACACTGGACACAAAGCTGTGTTACGCCATCAATTAATTTTTTCTTATTTATATCGATAAGCAGTTTATATTTGTGAAGAAAGTCAGCTGCTAAAATACCTTTTGTGACATCAGCAATTATGAATGGAAACTGAAAATCACGACGTAATCCCAAATCAAGAGTTAGCGTTTTTATGCCATAAGTGGAAATATGTGTGCCATTAGCTGCATACAGTTTATATTCAGTTTACATTTATTCTGTGAAGTAGCAGGAATTATGCTTACGTCAGCTCCGCTATCAATAAGAAAGTGCAAATTTGATCTTCGGTCACGAACGAATAAACGAAATTTGCGACAATCCATTCATATTTTCTGCAGCAGCGTTTGCCGCTGGAACCTACTGCAGATTCGAGTTTTCCTGGTTTTTTTTTTTGAAATCGTTTTTTACCCAAGTACACGGAGGCTTCGGCATTTCTCTGGAATGCATTTTGCTCCAAAACGAAAGTGATAAAAACAAAATTTGCCTAGTAGGGTCATGTCGTTTACGAGATTCGGCTTCGAGATCGTGAACGTGAATTACGTAAATCCGAGTCCCTGCGTCTTGAGTGAATGGTTATTTGATCAAATTTTTGTTCAAGAAAGGTAATGTTTTGCAACAAATCATCCCTTACCCGAACAGATAAATCGAGCATTAGCACTAAATACTTCTTGTTTCCGATTCATATCACTAATTTTATCTGCCATAGACGCTAACTTGGTTACATCTTCATCACTAACTAATAATATATTTTTTATTGAGTCAGGTAGCTTCTCCAGCCATAATGTTTTGATTAGATTTTCAGACACATCTGTAGTAGCAACTGATCTCAACTTCTGCAAAAGTTGGCTTGGTTTCATGTCTCCAAGCTCGATACCAGTAATCAAACGTTTAATCCGTACATTTTCACTTTCTTTAAATAAAATGTAATAACCTAATTTTAGCATCCGAATATTTTGTGGCAACTATCGTTCGTTACAATGTCCCAAATATTTTCGACGAACTTAGGTTCAAGCTGTGAAACTAAATAATTAAATTTCGTTTCTTCTGAAACGATATTACTAATTTTGAACTGAGCTTCAACTTGAAAAAACCATATTTCCGGTTTATCAATCCAAAAAGGAGGTATTTTTACACTCACCTTATGAAGCTCCGGTGACTGCATCGTATCTTTCATAGCAGTTTCAGAAGAGTCATTTGTTGACATTTCGAAAATTAATCAGGGTCACCACGATGTAGCCTTGGCTACTAATGTTTAAAATTAATTTATGACTAGTAACAGTATGAATTATAAACAAATAGCTAAGTTATTGCATTTTATTTTTCCAGACGCTACGAGCATATCGAAATGCGACGCTACGAGCAACGTTTTGAAACCAAAACCTCGCAATCATGAATCAGAACTAGAACTAGTTGCCATTCAGCATAAATTTAAATATAAATATGAACTACTTATTGCCATTCAGCATAAAGGAAATATAAATATGAATATTAACAAAATATTAAAGTTAATTTTATAAAATAATTAAACACATGAACAAATATATGAAATAAAAAATAATTATTTCTCATGCACTAACTGGGCCACTACAAGCTTGCTTTTATTCGTCATCAGAAAAGTCTGTTTGTAAAAGCGTGTTTGATGTTATTTAAAAACATATATTGACGGTTAATAAGAAAATTATATACATTATTTTTAAAATAGCAGATAGGTTAAAATATTTCATAAATTAAATAAAATAATTTCGATTGTAAACCTTTACAGAATATAAAAGGACATAATAATGCATTGCCAAATAAAGTTACTAGATGGCAGCACTAAATAGAAGTGAATGTTTTGCTTCTTGAGAATTT